CTCAAGAATGCATATGAGGAGTCCCTGGAGCACCTGGAGACCTTCAAGCGGGAGAACAAGAACCTGCAGGGTGCGCTGCCCCAGGGGCTGGGGGGTCCACAGGGCAATGTCCCCGTGGGAGGCTGCCTGGGAGCCCCAAGGCAGGCCTGAGCACACAGTCTGCCCTCCACCTCTTTCGGACCACAGCAATCTCCCACTAAGTCACCATGTTCCCCTCACAGAGGAGATCTCAGACCTAACTGAGCAGCTGGGATCCAGTGGGAAGAGCATCCACGAGCTGGAGAAGATCCGCAAACAGCTGGAGGCGGAGAAGCTGGAGCTACAGTCAGCCCTGGAGGAGGCTGAGGTGCCTATGCAGGGTGGCAGGGGCAGGGTGTGGAAGGCTGAGCTCTAGGCCATCGTCCCTATTTTCACCTCTTTTGCTCACTGCCCCATTCCCAGAACTTAAGACAGTGTCTGGCACATATCAGGCACTCAACAAATGAATGAATGCCCACTGGGTCACTTGACTCTCTTCATATCAACAGCTCATCTATTGCGTCTTAGACAAGCTCCTGATTCCTGTTTCCACTTCCCTCCCCAGTCCACCTCTGCCTCCCTCTTGTGTTTTTTCCACTCTGTGCCTGATTGCTCCTGTTTCCTTGGCAACACCTTTCTCTTCATTTCCCTCTTTGTCTTCAAGGCTGGCTTGCCCTGTGAGGGTCTAAAACACCTTTTCTTAGGCTTGCTTTCATTTTTCTTGTACATTCCATTTTTCTTCTCTTTTCTGCTTCTCTGACTGAGCCACTTAAATTTTGTGTGTGGGTGGCTACTGGGGAGCAAATTACATCCCCAACCCATTTAAAATTTTTTTAAATTTTGAGTCAGGATCTCTCTAAGTTGCCCAGGCATGACTTGAATTTATGATCATCCTGTTTCAGCTTCCCAAAGTGCTGGGGGATTACAGGCATGCGCTATAGTGCCCAGCCACTTACACTCTTGAACTTTCTCTGCATCTGTGACTTGTGGACAGACCCCCTTCTCCCCATCGTAGGTGCTGACTGCCCATCTCTGACCTCTCCATCCACCACCCCCAGGCCTCCCTGGAGCATGAGGAGGGCAAGATCCTCCGCGCCCAGCTGGAGTTCAACCAGATTAAGGCAGAGATTGAGCGGAAGCTGGCAGAGAAGGATGAGGAGATGGAGCAGGCCAAGCGCAACCACCTGCGGGTGGTGGACTCACTGCAGACCTCGCTGGATGCGGAGACACGCAGCCGCAATGAGGCTCTGCGGGTGAAGAAGAAGATGGAGGGCGACCTCAATGAGATGGAGATCCAGCTCAGCCATGCCAACCGCTTGGCTGCAGAGGCCCAGAAGCAAGTCAAGAGCCTCCAAAGCTTGCTGAAGGTACATGGAGACTCCTGGAAGCAGGAGGTCACCTTGCTCAGAGAGGGAACTGGCTTCCGTGTCCTCTACATGGAGGAGACCTCAGACCTGAGCAGCTGATCAGGTGGTAGTGTCCCCCCATCCCTGCGCCATTGCAGAGACTTCTGATAGGTCCCTCATATGTCACTACAATGGGCTTCCCATTCATTTTCATGAAACAGCCTTGTGAAGGCACTGTGGCCATCTCATGCCCATTCTCCTGATCCTCAGGACACCCAGATCCAGCTGGATGACGCAGTCCGGGCCAATGATGACCTGAAGGAGAACATCGCCATCGTGGAGCGGCGCAATAACCTGCTGCAGGCTGAGCTAGAGGAGCTGCGCGCCGTGGTGGAGCAGACAGAGAGGTCTCGGAAGCTGGCTGAGCAGGAGCTGATCGAGACCAGTGAGCGGGTGCAGCTGCTGCA